CAAACTTGAAGAACTTTTCAGTGTGGCTAAACCAGCAGCTGAAACTCCGAATGCAATGGCGATTTTGCCAGTACGGGAAAAGCTTATAGAGCGAAAGGCTCTAAAGTACGCCATTCTTAATGCACACAGAGTAATCACAAGTAGTCAAAAACGATATACTCAAAAGAGCGCTAGCGAGGCGAGAAACTGGCAGGCGTTCCTTTCAATCCAACGCTGACCAGTTTTAGTATATTCGCAGGCGCATAAAATCCACAAAATACGTGTCCCGTATGTTGCAGGCCTCTTCGTCTGTGGCTTTTTCGAAGGTATGAAAATGGTGGATGTTAGTGATTTTAATCTGAAATAAAACAAGTCTTATTAAAGTCATCTGAGAGTGTAGAGATGTTCGACGGGCTTGTGGATTATTCATGGCCCTGTCTGTTAGGTCTTTTTAGTTTCCATTGCTAAATACTTGAGAAAATACGTCCTATTTTGACGTGTGTTGACGGTGGTTCAGTCGTGTCACACATGTTTGTTGTATTATATATCTTTATATTTGTATTTTTCGTATTGGATATCTGTCTATTGAAATAAAGTCACTAATGAACTATCGATCATACAAAATAACTATTATACACTCACAACATTGCTAGAAACAAACAAACAAAACTATTTACTACATTAAATGGCCACAGGAAAATGTCTGTAATACAGAGGATACTTTGAACAATTAGGTCCAAGTTGATGGATTAATTGATCAATTAATTCTTAATTAGGCTTGAACAACCTGGCCATGAAGAACATGAATCCCTGAAGACCTATAAGAATTGCAGGTGCAGCACTTTGTTAGTGTGTACGCAGCAATTTTACATTAGTACTTGTGGTAATACTATAGACCAGCTGCACACAGGTTATCCTTTGCCAATATTGTTTTAATGTTGATTGCTTGCTTTTCTGGCTACACAACATATGAGGCTTATTAAATTAGAATTATCAATTTTATCATATCATTTTTTTTCATTTTTCCTACCACTTACATTCTTGTTTAGATAGTATGGAGTCAAATCAGTGCCACCACCAAACCAACAATGCTTTTTACCATCATCATCAGTCACTTCAAAGTATCGATAATTGAAGTGCATTGTGGGAACCATAGGATTTCTTGGATGAATGACAGAACTGATTCCACAAGCAAAGAATGGTAGATTATTCCCCTTGAATTCTTTGCCTCTGCTCTTCATTTG